TATGGCCTTGCCGACGGTAATGGTGAGCAAGCCAGATGGATTTATCACCAGAGATATCTCGATCGTGTTTTGCCAGATAGTCGAACCTTTACTAATATTCATCGTCGTCTTGTTGAAACTGGTTCTGCCCGAAAAGGAACATCTGAAGGACGAAGGTCGAAGAACATCCTGAAACGAGTACGAGGAAGATCGCAATTTAAATCAATGATTCTGTTCATGGACGAAGCTAATTTTTCTCGAAATGCCAATCAGAATTTCCACAATCATCATTTGTGGGCAGAAGAAAATCCCTATGCCGTAACCGAAACCCATTTCCAACACCAATTTTCGATTAACGTATGAACAGGAATTATTGGCAACCTCTTTATTGGCCCATTCTTCTTGCCGGGACGACTTGACGGATATACTCACCTCAATTTTCTTCAACAACAGTTGTCTTTGCTGCTTGATGATGTTCTGTTAGTCATAAGAAACAATATGTGGTACATGCATGATTGTGCACCAGCGCATTTAAGTGTAGCGGTTCGTAATTATTTACAAGCTGTTTATCCAAATCATTGGATTCGCCGCCGTGGGCCCCAAGAATGGCCACCAAGGTCCCCACACCTCAACAGTTTAGATTTCTTTTTGTGGGGCTATCGTACATAAGTCCCAAAAACACAGTACAGGAATTAAGAGAAAGAATAGCTGCAGCTTGTGATACAATAAAAACACTCCAGGGATATTTCAACGAGTGCGCAATTCCATGAGAAGGAGGGCGGAAGCATGCATACTAAGTGAAGGGGGTCATTTTTTGTAATCATTTCATTGGCTTTAATGTTATGTTTATGTTGTCAGTTGTGGTTGTTCATTACCCCTAATGTGTTTAATTTTTCCATTTAAATTAATAATAATTCTGCAAGTTAAACAACTGAACGGTTTTTATTTGTTTACTCAAAAATGGCGCATCGAACGAAATAATTCAAGAAAGATTATTTGTTTTAAATTGAAGGAAGAATAAAAACATAATTTTTATTTGGCAAAAAACTATTGACGTACCATTTTTTTCTTAAAAAAATAAGTCAACACCCGTACGCACGCCACTGTTCAAGCTAAAAAAATTTTATTTTGAAAAACATGCAACTTTATTCACTAACACTACGTACTAAATATCAGTGAAATATCTAAAGCGGTTCTGAAAATATTAATTAATTTCCATTTTTTTCCTAAAACTTCAACACCCCGAGTTTTTGTAAGGAAACGTTTTTGGACCATAGTTTATACAGCAAACAAACATTAACTTTTCATGTAGATTCACACCCTTAAATATTCGCATATCATTAAGGAGGTCCCTGTATACTCAGTAACATTAGTAGTGTTACAACCAGAAAAAATGTCTCCAACTTGATTCTTTGGCAATGAGGTAGTATTACAACAAGAATGAAACGGTAACATTCTCACGAAATTTTATTGACAAATAATAAGGAGAAAAAATTAAGTCTTGTGTAATGCCTCCCAACAGCAAATTCAATACCACGTCGTTCTCCACGGCGGCATTTTACCCTTCTACGACCATCGTTCGTACCAAGACAGAACCGCGATTCGTCGCTGAAGATAGCATTATGCCATCCTGCTCCCCAATGTTGCCATTCTCTGCTCAAGTGTTGACGAAAGTGGTCCGCAGTCAGAGGAAGCACTAACCGTGGACTTTATAAAAAAAGTCCAAAAGCTCGAACGCGGCAACAGAGCTTACGCATAGTAACAGGTCTACTTTCTTTTTCAAACCATTCGTCAGCGATCTGATGAGTAGTAGCAAAACGGTCTCGTAGGGCTACGTATCTGTAGCGTCATTTTGTTATGCTTAAAACTAGTAACTGAAAGGGCAATAACTGAAAATATCTGTACTACTTAGCCCTCAGAAACTGCTTGCTCCACAAAAACTAAGAGATAGCATTTTAACAAAGGCAAACAAAAACAAAGATAAAACGTTGAGATTGTTGTCACAGCGTGCTTTAAGTATAGACATCATACTGCCAAAAGAGGAAGTTAAAGAAGTGTTTTTTTCTGGGTGTAACACTTTTAATGCCACCGAGTATATTATAATGGGTGATTTTGTTGCTAGTATCTTTTTGGCAACACTGTTTTTGACAGATGACGCGTGAATCGTGTCTTGTGTCATTGTCAAACTTGTTTAGTTTGGTCTATAATTTAACCATGAATCGACTTACGAACGAACAACGCTTGCAAATTATTGAATTTTACTGTCAAAGTTCATGCTCGGTTAAGAGAGTGCATCGAGCACTGATTCCAACTTATGGGCAAATTGGTCGGCCTACTGAGGGAGCTATTCGGAAGCTTGTGCCTAAATTTCGAACCCAGTTTATATTATTGGACATTAAACCACCAACACGCAGACGTAGAGTGAGGACTGAAGAAAATATTGCGGCTGTATCCGCCAGTGTTAGTGATAACAGTGAAATGTCGATTCGCCGCCGATCGCAGCAATTGGGCTTCTGTTACTCCACTACGTGGAAAATTTTGCGACAGGATTTGGGTGTAAGACCTTATAAGATACAGCTGGTGCAAGAATTGAAGCCACACGACCTCCCACAACGTTTCCCATTTGGTGAATGGGCGCTGGCAAAGTTGGAGGAAGATCCACATTTTTATCAAAAAATTGTGTTCAGCGATGAAGCTCATTTCTGGTTGAATGGGTACGTTAACAAGCAAAATTGCCGCATCTGGAGTGAAGACCAGCCAGAAGCATTGCAAAAGCTACCATCCCGAAAATATCACTGTTTGGTGTGGATTATGGGCCGGTGGCATCATCGGGCCGTACTTCTTCAAAGACGACAATGGCCGGAACGTAACTGTGAATGGCGAGCGCTACCGTGCGATGATAACAAACTTTTATTTTCCCAAAATGGAAGAGCTGGACTTGGCTGACATGTGGTTTCAACAAGACGGTGCCACATGCCACACCGCACACGAAACAATGGCCCTATTGAGACGCGAGTTCGGTGAACCGTTTATCTCACGTCTGGGGCTCGTCAATTGGCGGCCTAGATCGTGTGATTTAACGCCGTTGGACTATTTCTTGTGAGGCCATGTTAAGGCTAATGTCTACAGGGATAATCCAGCAACGATTGACGCACTGGAAGTCAATATTGAAGCATTTATTCGTGAGATACCGGCCGATATGTTGGAGAGAGTGTGCCAAAATTGGACCTTGCGCATGGGCCATCTAAAGCGGAGCTGCGGCCAACATTTACGTGAAATAACCTTTAGACATTAAATTATATCGACCGTATCGACTCTAATAAAGATTTAATCGTTTTTTTCAAATTTTTTGTGTTTTCTTTGAAAATCAAATCCTATACCTCTTAAAAAATCACCCGTTATAAATAGAAATAAAACTTCAGTATGAATATTTTACGTTTACAAACAGATGAAATTGATTAATCCATTTCCCGTTTTTGTGTGTAACAACAAAAAGTCTTATTCGGTACATGTTGCAAGCAAGCATCAGCAAATATCAAAACCCATTCGTGATCTCAACTGGATGCAAATTGATTACATGTATGAATATCAGCTCCCAAGTACAAAATAAATTGGTTCGCTGAGTTAAGGAAACTCCTAGAAAACGATTTAACTCATTATAACGATACTGAACCGTGACGCGACTGGATGAAAATGAATCGTCGACGAAGATATCTCATCCAAAAAATAATCTGGCAGTCACCAAAACCATCGAGTAATAAAGCCGGTCTTGAAAGATGGTGCAAGAAACAACTATGAAACAACAATCAACAAAAGACAGAAAAATTAGAGTGAAGTTGCCTTACTGCACAGTGAAGGTGGATGGAAGGAGCCAGAAGAAACAAGGAAAAGCGGGAGAGAGAAGAAAAAGAACAAGTAAAATTGGATAGAGTAGAGAAAAAAGAAGATTAGTGAAGGAATAATAGGAAAATAGGAAATAGCAAAAAACCGAAACCTAAACATGAACGACAATAAGATAACATGAAACTCCTAAAAAAGACTTGAAGTTTTGTATCAACAAAGCGAATATCTCCTGAATGCATCGAACCACAAAATTTTAACTTATGTTTCAAAAATGGGGGAATTGGGGTAAGTAAATGTTTATGAATATAACATAGTAAATGAAACTTATATAGACTAGGAATAGATAACCAGTCTAATTTTATGAACAGAGGAGGCAAGGCGGTCAAATTTTTTCAGGTAACAGATTTATCTGCAACATGAATTTTGAATTTCATGCAAGCGCGGATGTTAAGCAATATTGCAGTAAGTAATTTTTTAAATAATGTCTCATAGAGAATTTTTTTAATTTTGTAATCGAGAATTAGTTTGTTCAAGAATAATTGCCGAAGTACTAAAAAATTACTTTTTTAACATTGTTTACATGAGTAATAAAATTCAGACATCCATCAAGAGGTATGCTTAGATTTATCACACAGATATTTTTTTAATCTCACCATTTAATGATGTAGTGAAATATTTATTAATTTGACTTCTAAACTTTTTAGGGGAGAATATCTTAAATCTTCAATAATTTGAGCCTTAGCAACTATTAGATTGTCAGTATAAAAATTATTGTATAACTGCGTGCCATCCGCAAAGAGCTGATTATTGCACTGTTTAACAACCTTTTCAAGATCGGAGATCTATAAAATAAAATTACTCGGTTCAAACTGTTCATTCACTGGAGAATGTGCCTTTGTTCCAGGTAAATGCCATAAGCTTATGAATAAGAACACGACCAACCATTTTCTAAAATATACGCGGTCCTTTGGTGCCCAAAGCAAATGTGAAACGATTAAGTAAACAGTTATCTTGTTTCAGGACCTCCAAATGAAATCTTGAAATTCAGTTACTAGTGCCACTATCCTATATCGTACTTATAAGCAATTATTATCCCTCATCTAGATGCTATGTTCCAAAACACAACCTTCAAAAAACAGGGCATCACCCGATCAAGTCTGGCGCGGACATTTTTCAATATGACCTTACTGAATAATAATACGGTACACTCCATCATCACTTAAAAAAATCCATAAATATGCAAATAGTCCAGACGCCACTTAATTATATCCCTATCCCTATCTCTCTCTCTCTCTCTCTCTAGGACGGGACGGTAGCCAGGGATGCGAAAAAATTGTAAAAAACGATCGGCCAAAATTATATACGGAATATATTGTGAAATCTTCCGCAATATTTGCATAATATGATGCTAGCGTGCTTGTATGAGCGTACCCAATATGCATTATAGTGGACTGCTGCTACTTTTATTTCACCAACTGTTCAATGCTCGGCAAACATTTATTTATGAATGATTTTTCTGTTATTATGGGTTCAATTCAAGCTATTTAGATTTGAAATATACTAAGTGACATATAAATCCGAACACCCAGTTTAAATGGTTTTATTTTAATAAAAGTTGGTGAATGTATTTATCTTACTGTAAATAACAAGTGGAAAAATTTTCAGCCTTATCAGTTGGACATTCCGGTTTTTATACTGCTTTTTTTTTAATTCACTAACGCTCTAAAAATGAATATTTCAGCCGCAGTAAAGAATCAACGTTGGCGGATTTTGGTTCTTGACATTCTTTACGCCTAGAATACGGAGACCTGTACGATTTCGTCAACTTAGTGAGTTTGATAGGGGCCGTATAGTGGGACTTCGGGAAGCTGGACTTTCTTTTCGGGCAATTGCAGTTAGAGTGCAAAGAAGTGTAGACACTGTGGTTAGGTGTTGTCAGGCACGGCTTCGAGAAGGCCGTACGCAAAGAGCAAGGGGCACTGGACGCCGCCGTAGAACAACAGACCGTGAAGATCGCCGCCTAAGATTATTGGCCTTAAGGGACCGTTTCTCCACTACCAGGTCCATTGCAAATGAATGGTTTGCAGAACACGGAAGACCTATTGGCGTGCGAAGCGTTTACTGACGAATGAGAAGTTTTGGCTTGTTTTCATACCGGCCACACTGGGTCCTCCCTTTAACTCGAGAACACCGACGTAATCGCCTTGAGTGGTGCAGACAACGGTCACTCTGGGATCAGGAATGGAACAGTATTGTCTTTAGTGACGAGTCTCGATTTTGTTTAGGCATACACGATGGTCGTGCCAGGGTTAGAAGGTGACGTGGTGAAAGGAGGAATCCACAGTTTTTTGTTGAAAGACATGTTCATCACACTGTTGGAGTTATGGTTTGGGGTGCTATAGCTTATGGTTCCAGGTCACCATTAATCTTCATCAGAGGTAACATGAACGCGCAGCGTTATATCCACGAAGTTCTGGAACCCCATCTTTTACCCTATCTTGACACCCTGGCAGATCCAACTTTCCAACAAGATAATGCCCGACCACATGTTGCAAGAGTCACAATAGACTTCTTTCAACATAATGATGTCACATTGTTACCATGGCCACCAAGATCTCCCGACTTATCCCCAATTGAGCACGTGTGGGATATGATGGGTAGGAGATTGCTCAATTTGCAACGTCCTCCTCAGACTCTAGAAGCACTTCGAGAGGAGTTGGTGGTTGCCTGAAATGAGATACCACAGGAGGACATTGACCACCTGATCAGAAGCATGCCTAGGCGCGTTGGAGAATGCGTAGCACATCAGGGTGCATCCACACATTATTAAAGGTCAAAGGGCTTTACAGCAGTGCAATCATTTTGAAATTTTTATCATTTACTTATTATGCTTCATTAAGTACTTATACAAAATTTTATTAAAATAAAACCATTTAAACTGGTTGTTCGGATTTATATGTCACTTAGTATACATAATGATATGGTGGGGTAACATTTTTTAAATTGATCAGTGATCAGAATAAAAAATACATTTTAACATTATTCTTATTTTATTCATACCAGGTGTACAAAAAGTTTGCTCTTATTTTCTAAACACGAATATGATCTAACAGTACACATTTGCTCAGTTTCAACAGTATGCTGATATACAGTTTACCTAGTTGATATCTCACAGTTCTCAGCAACTATATATAAAACACTATTCTGAGTGTCCTCCCCTTCACTTTTTTGACACGTAACAGGCTTTTTGAATGAGCCATATTCATTTAAATTTTGAGCCAACTCTAAAAAAGTGGACTTACTTGGCTGCCTTCTTTCGGGAAATTTATCAAGATAAATTCCTGCAGTATTTTTAGTATTTTTGTAGCACAAAATGTAGCACGTCAGCATGTCTAACTTTTCTCTATTGCTAAAATGGTCGCCTGGCATCTTTGACGATAACAAAGCAATATTATCAATACACAATAATAACAATACTCGGCGACAACGTGCAACGCCTACTTGAAAAAAAAAATCAGAAGAAACGCATTTTCCCTTATAACTAAGAAAATAAATGTAACATAAGATACACTACAGGGATACAGGGAGTACTTTTTTCGGGCCATATAAAAAAATAAAGTTGATGATGGTTCCTCAAAAACGAACCGTCGCGTCGGGCACAACATTCAAAAACGCCATCATGTAGTGCCTAAAAAGTGCCAACGCATTTTTTTTTATATTTGTCGAAATGAAATCCGAGAAAAAAATGTTTTGACCAAAATAAAGTCTCGACATCTTGAAAATTTAATATTCGACCCTGCAATTTTTGTATGTAGGTTTTTTCTAAAAAGTTATACATGAAAATTAGAGGGGTTCAGTCCATAGTGGGATACTCTCACGTTGCTGCGTTCTAGAATTCCTACAGTAAGCTTTCGTGAATCCCCGTCATCGAATTCATCAGCAGACCGATCACTAATCTCTCCCCGCCACATTCCCGTTCACATGTTCAGTATGTCTTTAACGCCTCTCCATTGTATAGGAAAACAGTTAAATCCAGATCTCCTGTACGTGACATCCGCGACTGCAATAAACTTACGCAATCCACCGAGGACTAACAAATGACATGTTTCCAAAGACGCTACGACGCTTCTGACGTCCGACATCTATACAAGATGCCCTGTGAGGGAAGAGAAGAAGAGGATACAACATATTTAATTTTACACAGCAATACGACTCGAAAAGCTATGCTGAACTTTTGGGCGAGCGACCTTGGCAGATCAACATACCACATCCTAATAGTAGTAGTAGTATTTTATTCGGCCTAAATACAAACACATGGTCCAAATTGTAAGTCACAAAGGAGGATGAATTTAAATTTGAAATTGTATGTATATAACACATTAAAATAATTGACAAAATTAAAAATTATGTAAAAAGTAATGTTCAAAAAGATCAATGTTTAACGGTGTTAACATCCACAACTTAAAAATGCGTCAATAGAATAAAAACATTTATCAGTTAGATAATAATTGAATACCATTCTTTTAAAACTACAGTAGCTATCAATATCCCTTAAATCGCTAGGTAGACCATTATACATTGCTACAAAATTATACTGCGGTGACCTAGTGTAAGATAGAGCCCTAAAACGATTTCATTTTAACTTGGTGATTCTTGTATTATCGTGTCCATTTTGCATTTAGAAGTTGTTAATGTTACATCTGATTTACGCATTCATATATAAAAGCTACTACTACTATTTTGTTCACATATCAGTAATTTTAATTTCTCTCTATTAATATTAGGGTGATAATTTCTAGGCCAAATCTTTTTTCAATTATTTTCTTTTGGCAAATTTCATAGTTTATTGATTGTAGAATATCCACACTATATTCACAGCGATTAAGGAATACCCAAATATATGTCGTAGAGCTACCAGCAAACCGAAAACCTGCAGAAAAACTAGAAATTTGCAATATTGTTCTTTTTTCACTGAGTACATATTCTGGGTTATATTAATATGAGACGTTATTTGAATCACAAAACATATACACTGATTTGAATAACAGCTGATTACCTCCCGATATTTTAAAACTAACCATATCGACAAGTGACACATAATTCTGTGGGACCCGCCAACACTTCCCCCTGGTAGTGGTGTTGGTTATCGTTACTTTCGAGTACTCGTTACTAATCGTTACTCTTCTACAAAGTAATCGTTTATTGTATTCGTTACTTCGATTACTATGAGTACTTAGTATGAGTATAGTGATTTGGCAATGTGCGTCGTGTGATTAATGTCGAATTTAAACAAGTTAAATGGAACCGAATCTTGTAAGAAAATAGACGACCTTAAAATTTGCAAAATGTTATAAGCATAGTTTATTTAAGACTATCGTGTTTAATGCAAACATTGTATCTTCAAACTGTATGCTTATCGAGATGAGTTATCTTAGGATGGAGTGTCATATGACAGTGTCATATGACTCATATGAGCCTACAAACTGAAAATACTTTGTATTTACTAGAAATACTTAAAAACATGTCTTTTAGTCAGAAAGATGATCTGTATATGGGCTTAAGTAAATTCGGAATGGCATGTGACTTTTCGAAGCATTTCAATTAAGCATAATATACCTGTATAAAAAATTCGACGTTGAGCTTGGTCTACACATACTATTGGTGGTCATACTGAATTATATTTTTTTTTAGCAAAACAGTGCTTGGAATGTCAAATTGACATAACTTTTATTATTGCGGTTTTCCTGAACGGTGGTGTTACCTTGTTGTTGCTTTTCTGACTCATAATACTGCCAAACTTTGATCCGATCCAATCGACTACTTATTCCTTTTCAGGTTCCCAAGATCACAACAATAAAAGCGAATTTGTGTCACGGTGTAAATAGGTAAACTTCAGATTTAAAAACAATTACCAAATTCCATGTCCGCCAATAAAAAAAATCAGTTTCCAGGTTTCCATCTGAATGCGGGATGTCTGGCAACCCTGGTGCATGAACGGCAGTGCTACAGTCTAACCAGCATTACCACTCAACGATCAACGATTGTACAGGTACCGGGTAGGGATACGGAAAACAGAGCAATCAAAGTAATCATTTCGTGCTCGGATTGGTACTCGTTACTTCGGGTATCTATGAGTAACGAGTACTCGAGTTTCGTATGATTACTTTTTCAACACCACTACGCAGTGGAGCAAACTCTGCCAACTGTCGAAATAAACTTTATTAACCCCAAGTCTTATTTTTGTCTTACTGTGCCTGCTTATATATTCAAATACGGCCACGAATTATTAGCGAATGGCTATTTTAGGCCTTCAATAACTCCTTATTGTAGATCTCTCCTTATTTTGTTTTTTCCACGCATTCATGGTAGAAAGAAAAATATTTTATCGAATATCGATACCGTATACCGTGCATGTCAAAGTGACAATCGTTATGTGTTTCTGTCTGAAATAGGCAAGTAGGCTTTGTGTATTCATTTTTATTTTTATAGCATTTCCAGAATTTCATATTTCGAAACGATTTCAAGGGCCGGCAGGTGAAAATCTTTCTCTATCGTCGCCATCCCTATATTGTATCCCCACCAGTCACCAGTCAAAAACCTTAACCACCAATATTTTATCACTATTTATAATTCTTTTTAGCTCTTATTTTTCAGTAATTACTAATAATTTTAGGTCTATGTAAACAGTAATTGCATTATGCACCTCGGAGATGTAGGGATTAACATGTTTTACACATATCGGTGTTTTAGGATGGGGACGACCATACTGTTTTGATTGCTTTGAAGAAATTCATTAACCCATGAATTTATAACAAACGATTACTATTATGATGTTAAGAGAGATGAGGAATTTTTTAGTATACATTTTATATTCTATTTTCTTGCAAATGCGCACAATTCAACAGGTATGTGTAGCTATAATGATCACATATACACACAGTATATTGAACTTGACAAATTTCGAGATTGCCATGAATTAACAAACGACCAAACCTGCTGCCAAATTTAACAGCCAGAAAATCGACCTATTATTTCTCCCATTCCCATTCGCTGAGGGGATAACGGATGGTCAAATGTACACCTATAACATAAATCAAAATACATGAAAGTTGTCCTGTTTTCTCTGTACAAAAGCATCATGTTGGAATCAAAAAGTGGTCTTGTTTATAATACAGTCGAATTTTCAGGATTTTATTTAACATTTTAATAGAAATCACTGATATTCTAAGACCTTTGACAGCTTCCGTCAATTGCATTTCGATAAGGTATTTTCCTATTGGTCCATAATATTAATGTTGGTGAAATCGACCAGTAGTATATTTGGTGATGCCGCCTCACCACAGGATGTTTTTTCCTTAATATCAGTGTATGTGGCATTTAGGCTTCTGGCTGCGCGGCTGTTCTGGCAATGGAACATTTTGTGATCGATGTTAAAAGGATTCTTATGTTATTCTTCAATGTGCGTCTACTATAGAAATATGCAGTGCGTGAACATGTCACGGAGGTCGCGCTGCTGTGAAGTGCTAAATATGCTTTGTTGTCGCCTTCTCTGGTTCACCGAGAGACAAAGAAGGGACTTGACAAGATTTATTTTCTGGCGCGGGACCGACCTCCGGGAGAATAATTACAGTCACGTATTACACGAGGTGACTGTAGTTGGGAGACGACTCACTTCTCTAATGTCACGTCGAAGTCAACGACTCAATCGAATCGATGTTTAGACTACTCGGGTGTGGGGTTAAAGTTATTTTGGTAGCCCTATAGGGGGGAAATGGTGTCAAGTAGGTTGATGTTGCTGTTATCACGTAATGTGACGGTTCTTCTTTTCATCCCACAATGTCAACACTTCAAATTGTAAAATGTGCCAAAATGTTTCCATAAGCATTGGGAGGGTGGCTTACTTTTGCTGACAAGGGGAGGGGGGTTAATAGTTGTAAAAAATGTGGTTATATCTCGAAGATATATTTTCTGAACTTTGCGAACTGAACTTGTTTGGATTTTGTTTGGTTACTGTAAATTTCTGTTTATTTCAGTTGGAGATTAAGAAAGCTGAGCCGCGGGACGGCAGTGGCGGAAACAAGATGGGCGGGTCTGATCCGTCTTCGACGTTGGGCCCGTATACAGTACTGCCGTATCTGGTTTCGCTGGATGGACAATATCTACCAAAAATCAGTGAACACTTGATCTAGCACGAACAGATATCGTCAATTGTGGCAGCTGCTGAGATGAAGACAGGCTATTTGTTTAGATCTAAGAAGTACTTTTCTCTACATGACCTCCTCAGTCTATACAAGCCCCAGATAAGAGTAATGCTCACATGTTTGGGATGCTGCTGCTCCGACTATACTTTCCATGCTCGGTGGTGTCCGACTGATCGATGACTCTTCTCTAAACGTCTCGGTATCCTTTCGCACCGTCGAGCCACCGGCGGTCTGGTTCTCTTCTACCGCTATGTTAACGAGCTTTGTTCTCCACAGTTCTTCTCTACATTGCGATGAACCTGTCCAGACAAGCTCGCTAGACTTCGGCCTCCCACCCTGACCGTGTCGAACTTCGCACATCCAGGTACGACCGCTCCTTTCGCCCTAGGCTAGGCTTTCGAGATTGTGGGGCAAAATGCCTGAGAAGGCATTTTTGAGATCAACTAATTTTAAGTCGTTCAAAAACAAGACTAATCTTTAAGCTTCTTATACGGCACGGGTGTTATGTATAAAACCTATAAAACGTCAAAAAAAAAAAAGCTATAAGATGTCAACTTGCAGACTAGGTAGTTTTTAGGGCACAGTCATTCTGCGTTTGCTCACTAGGATCGTTGTGAAAGTCCATCTATGGAGGAATCACTCAACTAAACTACGCATTGTTGGTTGCATAGTTTTGTGAGGCTGAGTGATACGGGTCTGTAGCTTTTATCTCTGAGAAGAAAGTTGGTTGAATAGCGAGATCCTATCTGGATGATTGTGTGTATTGGTCCATGTTGACTGTCTGAAGAGAAAAGTGAAAATTCCAGCGTCCATTATGTTTGTGGTAGTATGTCATCAAAAGGAGTAGGAAAACTTCATTTTATTGATGGAAATGTGGATACAAACAAATATTTGGCAATTTTAGAAGAATCGCTTTTACCAGTGTTGGAAGAATGTTTGACATCCGGCCAAGATTTTGTGTTTCAGCAAGATGGTGCAGCGTGCCATACCTCAAAAAAGGCTATAAAATGGATGGAAGAAAATAATGTACCACTTTTGAAATGAGTTTCTAGCAGTCCAGATCTGTCAGCTATTGAAACTTTGTGGCACGAGATGAAAAAGGTTCTACGACAAGATCCTGCTCGTACAATCACCGAACTGAGACAAAAGCCTTAAGAAATATGGGATTGTTTTACACCAAATTTTTGCCAAAACTTGGTTAACACTATGCCCTAAAGAATTGCAGCTGTAATAAAAAATACAGGTGATGTTACCCAATGTAATCTTTCAACTGTTGCTTTGTTAACTTCGCGCATTTATTCGCACATTGTTTATTTGTTCAGATGTTCTATTAGTTATAGGTCAAATATGTATTTTTTACGACTAGAGTGTATCTAAAATGTTTTTGAGAAAATAAATTGTCTTAGAAGTAAACGGTTTCGTCATGTCTAGTTTATAAAGGCATATTTTGGTACAAATCTTGAAGTGGGCCAACTGAAGTGGGAAGGAGCTCGTATGTTACTGAATGCATTTGTATTACTATAGCTACATCCTTACCTCAAATGTTCAACTGATTTTTAACAAAACGATTACGAAAACGTTGCTTAAAATCATCAAACTTGTATTATGAAAAATTACTGTTTGAGGCGAAAAAACGGTAAGCCTAAAAAAAGAAGAAAATCTAAGGCAACTGAGGATTCCAAATACTCGTACGCTAGGAAAGCTTCAAGAGCTATCACCGGGGGTGACTTAGAAAACTTTGTCAACTTAAATGCCGTTTCAAACGCTCTATCATGTCACTTCTGTCCAGAAACATTCACTTCTCATGCCGCGCTTGCTTTACATTCAGTGGATCACCGGGAAGATGGAAGATACTCCTGTCACCTCTGTGATCACCACGAAACATTCCCAAATAACATCGAGAGACACCTCAAGAGGCATGATTCGTTTGGCTGTCTGAAATGCAAGCGCGTTTTTAAAAATAAGCTTTCTGCTTACAAACATTCCAAGCATCATCCGGAAGAATTTGTGCGAGATATGCGGATTCAAACTCAAACCGATGTATATGAAAAAACATCACGAAAGGAGGCATACGAGTAACCCCAAGAAAAAGATATATACGTGCGAGGTTTGTAAAAAAGAATTCCTGCAACACGGGAACCTCAGAAGACACTACTCTCAAAAACACGAGGAACTGTGTATCAAATCAGCGACATTCGCTGTGTGAGAAAATCATTGCTGAATATGCCGATATATGACGGGTTATTTATATGTTGTACTTTCTGAAGAGAGGTTCAAAGTTATGAATTACGAAAAACTGAGAATTACGAGAAATCATCACCGCGCCTGTGTGTGTAATTACGGATAGCATAATTATTTCTCATCTCTCTCATTTTTGAAATTCAGCAAATTTGTATATGTAATTTCCAGAATGGATAAGAAAAAGTGGATGCGCAACTAATTTCAAGCTTTGAATCTCAATTAAGTGTATTTGAGACGAGAACCCAATGTAATTATCATCAACACATATTAGCACACAAGTCCTCACTTTAACTATACACGTATGCCCTGCCGTTTTCTTCCAGTTTTAGTCTATAGTATAAAACTTACAGCTTAGACCTCCAGTAATGCCATCTCAGAAGCAGATTTTACATCACATCAGAGCCAAAGATTGATAACAAGCCTCATGACGTTTAGGCAACAAATATAACTAAGGGTTAAATTAACATCTTATAGAATAACCTACATAATGTCAAAAAAAAACAGCATAATGTCAAAAATAATCGGTATAATGTCTCTTTTCAAGATACGTGATACCCGTGCCGGTCGCGGTGCTTCGGGATTTAGGTTTCTGTCTACGCGGCTGCTACTATATAAGAAAATATCAGTTCAGAAATGACATTTTAGGGTTGGAAATGAAATGAGTACAAGCTTGTCATATGTTTCTGTGTAGCTCACGTCATTGTTCTAAATATATGTCATATTCTTTCTCCAGTTTGGCTGTGACGCTCATATTGATTAATACAATTGATCTTGAAACAAGATAATCAATGCAAAGTATTAAACATTAGTAATAATAGTTATAGTCGCTATTGACTTTAATAAGGTACATTATATGGGGAATTAAGTAGTCGGAACTTCAAACTTCGTTTTTAAAAAAACTTCATTTGGTTCCAACAATAGTGTACATCGACCGAACCGGAATTACAGAGTGTGTGTTCGCTGTGACTGAGACTGAATGACTGACTCATAATTAAGATAAAATCGTTAATATAAACCAAAAGTGATGAGCTAGTAAAAAGGAATATACAATGCAATTATTATACCAATTAATAAAGTGCTAAATGGCAGCAACATAATTTCTCCACCCTTAGGATGAAGTTTTGAAGGGCGCAAACAAAACTTCGTGCCTCTGGGGTTGAATTTCGATTTCTTCTAAATGCTGGCTTCTTTAAACCTACTAAAAGTGTATGCAATGCATGACTATCATACAGTGACTTTTTACTAGTTTTAATAGCATCAACTGTTTCATGAATATATGTATAAATAGTTATGTAAATGATTGAGTATGGTTGCAACTCTAGAATAAAACTGTAAAGAACTTTCATTAGAATTTTGTATAAGGGCAGTCATATCTGAGATAAGACTACTCTCGTTTCTTTGATTACCAAAATGAGCAATTAGCCAAATTTTGATGCTGTTCCAGTATGTGGAACCGCTAAGAGAAAATACTTGCCCTGCAGCACCGGTCAATTCCGAGAAAATGCGATGCAGCAGTATTTTGTTTTGGACACATCCTGTATCGTCAGTGTTCCAATAGTTATTTAATAAATCTGTGCTTATTTTTAAATATCTATATAGTCTACAAGGATTCCCATCAAATTCTGGGACAATTTGGAGTAATTCTATGTCGAACTGGGGGGCATTATTTTTACTGGGGGGTCATCGTTATTATATTCTCTGTATTTTCGTTTAGTATGTAGTTGGAACTTCAAACTCCGTTTTCAAAAAAACTTTATTTGGTTCCAACAATAGTGAACATGGACCGAACCGGAATTACAGTGTGTGTGTGTTCGCTGTGACTGAGATTGAATGACTGACTCATAATTAAGATAAAATCGTTAATATAAACCAAAAGTGATGAGCTAGTAAAAATGAATACAATGCAATTATTATGTCAACTAATAAAGCGTTAAATGACAGCAACATAACTGGGGTGAGATTCAGCACCATCTATTCTATCATCTAACCCCGTTAAAAAGGAACTTGAAAAATGTGATAAACAAGAAATAATACAATTGAAAAAATAATGCCGATTCACTTGATCAAAGAACAAAATGGCCACAAGTAGTTTAACTCTGCTCTTCACCCACAATGTTGTCATCAATTTATAAACGGTTATATTCCGTATAAGTTGCCCCTCGTATAAGTTGGATGCGAACATACATAACAAAGTAATTAAGTGAATCATGACAAACATGCTCATACAAATCCGTAGTGCCTAGTTTGACTACTTTGCGACCCAGCCTACCGCCCTATCGGCAGTACCGGAACACCCAGCAACGTGGTAACGCAGCATCGGGTTGCATTCACGAATAGACAAATTATTCTTTAGTCGTCCCTCAACATTATAAAAATCATGTCTCAATCATTGTGTTAAGGGAAAATGTACGGCAAAGTCTGTGATGTATGAAACATGACTACGAATTACAGGGGTTGAAAACACGCAAACTGTTTTTCGCCTTTTTCTCATGTGCTACTGGACCAATTATCAAAACCTATAAAGCTTTTTGGTCCTTGCAATAGTACGAGCCCCTTCCCACTTCAGTTAGCTCAACTATTGAAATCTTAGTTTTTTTCTTATCAAACACTGTTACGCCAATGGTCATTTGGCGCGCGCGCCACTGTGTACCAGCCACGACCACTGCGCAAGCGCTGCCTGACAGTTTTTGAATCCAGCCAATGGGGACGGAGACACCAGGAGATCGAAGCGCCGCGACTAAGATAGGAGGTGTCGAGATAGAACGCATCAACAGGTTCAAGAAATTTGTATTGTCACTCATTTACCAAATCAAATACAGTCCACTTTTGTAAACTCAAATAAACCTATCACCAGACTGGAACGGATGTGTCCTTGCCGCACATAACAAACACAAATAATAAAAATGTAGCAGGGTGATATAGGTTTAAAATATTAACAATGAATATTTTGATAATATATAGTAGAAAACACCAACTTTATCACTCCCTAATCAAATTTGCAGCATAAAAATAACACATGTTGCAATTACAGCATATCAACCTATTTTCATTTCAATGCAAAATAAGTTGCATAGGTGGCTGTGAAAAATAAAAGCCATGACAATTGTTTTTATTAATCACAGCTGTCAGAATACGTTTAAAATAGTTTTGGGTAGTTAAAGTTTTCAAAATGTGTAGAGGAAAGGTTGTTAGTGAGAAAATTCGGTTACTGATAATTAATTTTTTTAATTCTGGGAAATCAAATTCAGAGATTGCAACTTTGTTAGACTTATGGCGGTACAGTGTGAGAAATATTGTTAGAAGATATAACGTAACTGGTTCAGTTAATATTAAGCCACGATATGTGAAAAAAAATAATATCACTAATGCCGACCCAAGAGCATTAAGAAGAATAATCGTGAAAAACAGGCGTGCCAATTATTTAAAATGAAGTGCTCTGTGGAGTGACGTTGTTGGAAGGAGAATTTCGAGGCCCACAAACTGAGATTTAGCACCTGTAAGGTAAGTTTTCTTATTAAAAAAAAGTGAAGTAAAAACCCTAAAGTTGCACAACTTGTTTATAGGCCAAAGAAAAGCCACTATTAACTCCACTGCAAAAGAAAAATCGGCTTAGATGGGCTAAAGAACATAGACAATGGACACCTCAACAATGGTGTGCAATACAATGGCGTGATGAGGCCCGATTCGAAGTTTGTGTTGGTGACAGTCGCAGTAGAATTATTCGCAAAAAAAATGAAGCATTCCATATTGACTGTCTGAAGAGAATAGTGAAATTTCCAGCACTCATTATGGTCTGGGGCAGTATGTCATCAACAGGAGTAGGAAAACTTCATTTTATTGATGGAAATGTGGATACAAACAGATATTTGGCAATTTTAGAAGAATCGCTTTTACCAGTGGTGGAAGAATGTTTGACATCCGGGAAAGATTTTATGTTTCAGCACGATGGTGCAGCGTGACATACCTCAAAAAAGGATATAAAATGGATGGAAGAAAATAATGTGCCACTTTTGAAATGGGTTTCTAGCAGTCCAGATCCTATTGAAACTTTGTGACACGAGATGAAAAAGGTTCTACGACAGCATCCTGCTCGTGTAATCACCGAACTGAGACAAACGCTTCAAGGAATATGGGATTGTTTCACACCAAATTTTTGCCAAAACTTGGTTAACACCATGCCCCAAAGAATGTCAGCCGTAATAAAAAATAAAGGTGATGTTACCCAATGGTAATCTTTCAATTGTTGCTTTGTTAACTTCGCGCATTTATTCGCACATTGTTTATTTGTTCAGATGTTCTATTAGTTATAGGTCTAAGTGATTTTAAATATGTATTTTTTACGACTAGAGTGTATCTGAAATGTTTTTGAGAAAATAAACTGTTTTAGAAGTAAATAGTTTTTAGTTAAAATGCCCAATATTTTAAGACAAACAACGCATGCATATTGGTTTAAAAGGTATTGTCAACAGTTCAAACGGAAGATATAGATCTGGTACAAATTCTGGGTAAATCATTCGACTCTATCCGTATTTTATTTCAGAGATTTGTCAAATTATGTATAACACCTGCAAGCAACACCAAAATATTCTAATAAACCAAAGACAACATGGACGATGCCATGATTATACGTACATAACCACCAGCTATATTGTGCAAAAATATATTCCTTTATTGAAAATTAAATGCTTATATTTCAGGTGGACATTACAGATATAAAGTGATAAACATTAGTAAAGTTGTGTCTAAATATGGGATTTGTGGAAGATTTAACGCAGGTAAATTCAGTTTTTCATCTTAAAAATCTAGACATACCTACTTTTAATAATATTTTTAAAATATGAATCAAATACGAAGCCCGTAGAAATTGCGTAACTACTTTGCAGTATAATCACAATAAAATTTGTTGCGCAAGTAATTCAATAGCCGTGTATCACAGTGTTTATCATATGTATGAAATTCACAATGGCCAATATGTAAGTAAACAAGATGACTGTAATGTGTTAGTTATATATTCTTCACTTCACCTTTGCAATATATAAGAAATAGTTTGGTTGCAATAAAGTAAAAAATAATAATAGAATAGTTGTATAGTTGACAAAAACTGGATCTTCCTCTGACGCAAATGTTCTATAGCGGCTGCAAGATGTTTACACTTTTTTTGTATAAGTGTTATATGCAGCCCTTATACAACCTCTTAAATAACTGAACTGCCCTATTAGGTGTGCCCGTTCCGCTTGTATAACTGTTCTAAGAGCGTTTTGCCAATGTTCTTACAGCAAACAATGCTGTGAAAGGAATACTGTATAATCATTCTGGCAACTCTGATAGGAGTGATAACTGTTAGTTGATTTTTTTATATCATTGACTCTCGGTATTCGTGTGAAATTTGCTCATCGCATTCCAACCCATGAAAAGCATCCATTTCGACGACATTATAGAGACGTTAGTTCCTTTGAATAACAAAAACCCGTATCCAATTAGTGCCGTCTGGTTCTCTGTTTCTTTCCTTAAGTGTAGGAAATAACTGCAGATCGCAGTAATTCCCTGTTTATCTGTATTCTGTACAAGAGATACCATTACGCCGATATCGATGAAATAAGTAGTAAATCCCTTAATAAGCCAATCGAGACCCTTGAAACTTCAGTGGCCTGGAGCTTAATAAAATGTTTCAAACTTTCGTTTGTAGCTTATATACGATGTACATTACTATAAAGTGGGTAGCCAATAAATTGAACTTTCAAGTGGATACGTTCAAGTTGTTGCTATCTTATCAGTATTGAAGGCACCTGAAATATTGTACGTTGGGAAATACGATTTAGGGATTCTATTTACCGAAGATAATTGAGTTATCTCGCTAAGCACCTCTACTTATTGATTCGTCTGATGTGACTGGGTCATTTTGGCGCTGTTTTACTTTTTTCTTTTGTGTTGACTACAAATTTTGTTGTACTTATTAGGGTTAGTCTGAAACATAAAACATAATGCGGGATACTACATTTTCATGACATTTCTAATTAAGATGACCCAGGCAAGTGTTTTTTATACCGAAGCAACCGCGCAGACAAAGCCCTAAATGCCAAGACAGCGCAGCTGCTATGAGGATTCCAAAGAAATTTTGTTAATCAAATTTTTGAACTGCCTAAGGTTAGTTGAACTGGGAAAAGCTCCTTCTTGTAGATTGGTCTACAATCTCGACACCCTCGGGACAAAGGAGCGGTCGTATCAGCCAGTTCTGGATGTATAAAGTTCGAGACGGTTGAGATGGGAGGCCAAAGTCAGACGAGTCTGCTGGCCAGCACATCGCGCGGCGGCATCATGGAGGAGAGCTCTGAGGACCAAAGCCCGTTGGTGTAGCGGTAGAAGAGAGCTAGACCGCCGACGACCCGCCGCGCCGGTGCGAAAGGGTCCCAAGACTGTCTGATACAGAAGAGTCATCGATCAGTCGGACAGCCATCTCTGGACAGCATAAATAATGTAGTCGGGGCGGCAGCACCCCAAACCTGTGAGCAATACTCGAGGCAAGGCTTTGTCTGGGCCTTGTAGAGGGTGAGCAGGTCATGCGGAGAAAATTGTTTCTTAGCCCTAAACAAATAGCCTAGCTATTTCCCAGCAGCTGCCGCTATCTCGACTCCGACCAGCCGAAATGACTGGCTCTTTGGCAGAACTTGGCCAACTATCAAAATCGGATGAGCGCTAGGACGCTCTTAGTCGACAGTGTATAGAACTGTGTCTTGGAAGCACTAATCTGTACAAGATTGTTGCGTCCCCAAGCAGTGACAATCTCCAGGTCTCCCGTCAGGGAGGAAGCAGTCTCTTCCTTCTTCCAGCTCAGCAGGGATCCGGCTGTCGCTCTGAATTCCTGCATGTAGAGTGCTGTCATCAGCAAAGCTGTGGATTGAGTTGATCGTACAGGCTAAGAGGTCGTTGATATACAGCGTACCTCAGTACAAAGTCTTAGGGTTTTCGAGATATTCAGATTTTCAAATTTAAATCATAAATTAGTAACAGAAACAAAATAAACTATTTAAACATGCTTTATTATTCAAAGTGAGAACCATTGTTTCCAATACATGCTCAAGCTCTACGTCTTACTTCGATAGTTGTTGAATTTAATAACCTGTCTTGCTGCATTAAATAAAAAGCTTCTCGAATTTTTCTTATTAAATGGTCTCTTGATACGATTTCTTCAGTGTAACTGTAGAGCCCACCGCCAGACATAGAAATCCAATGGTGTCAAGTCCGGGGATCTAGCAGGTCACGCAATTGGTCTATTCAGCTACTTGGAAAAGAATCGTCCAAACATTGTAATGAGCTGGACATCCGTCGTGTTGGAAAAAAATTTGCATGTCATCTGGAATTTCTACTTCTACAAGTAATTCGAGAAGATCATTTTGCAAAGAGTGTTGTAGATAACTGTCGGCGTTTTCAGGCAAAAAATGAGGACCGATTAATCTTTGTCCCATGACGGCTGCCCATACTTAAACGGAAAATTTGTGCTGGAAATACAGCTGTTTTTTCCACTGTAGATTTTCCTCCTTCAGCCCATTGATGCAAATTGTAAAAATTTATAATGCGTTCCTTTGAAAAATTGGATTCGTCCGTCCATAGAATGCTTTCCAGGAACCGTTAACTCTCAATGTCACTATGTAAGAGAAAATGACCAAATTGGCTTCTGCGAATAGGATAACAGTCTTCAAGTCCTTGTACGCCGATACCATGAAAATGATATTTTCGTTCACGGTGCGTAATACTCCAAACCTTCCTTGTAGTGGGATCATCTTCAAACGTTTGGAGGATTAGATCTTCGGCTTCAAGATATGGACCTGGATTAACACTAGGTTGATTAAGTGTTACATTTCCAGTCTCGTAAAGACGTAAAGTATTGTAAAACACTCTGACAATAGGCAATCTTCTTCCAGGATATCGCTCTTGGTAGAACCGTCGTGCTTCTAGTCCATTACCATCTGCTCTGATATTATATGTAAACGATATCAGCGTATTCTTGGTTAGTGAAAGCGGCCATTTTACAAACTAATTAGTTCAGGATTTTTGGACTGAAATTCATGAATTACTATTGATTTGTTTGGAAAGGAGTAAAGCAAGAATGTGTGGGATTTAGTTTTATCATGCACGCAAAAACGTTCCTTCTTATCAGCATCACAAAGAGAGGAAAACATGTATTTATTATTTGTTTACAGTCAATTTGTTTTTCTTTTCTTTACCTTCGGAGAAAAAGCCACACTGTCAGGAATTTAAAAACTCCATGATCTGTCACTTATCAACCGCCGCAACATGAGGTTGCAGCTTGATGGAGCTCCCGCACACTTTGCGCGAATTGTACGAGTACATTTGGATGCGCAACATTCCCCATGGACAGGTCGTGGAAGCACTGTCGCTTGGTCACCCGATTTAATGCCCCTAGATATTTTTTTCTGAGGTACAATGAAGCTGAAAGTTTACTGTCATGTGAGCTCGTGGAACGGATCCATACCGCTGCGAACGGAATTAGAGCTGACACGGATATAGTCCGCCGCTCAACACGACACATGGTTTTAAGAGCAACAATGTGCATAGCCAATAATGTGCATAACCAATGTTAGATAGCATCTACGAGTGATATCTTTTAAGTTTTGCATATGGTAATAAAACAACATGGTAGGTAGTTTTAAATGACTTTATTGTTTTTCGAAGTATTCTCCACGAAGATTAATACACATCTGCATGCGTTCGAACCAATTTTCGAACCACTTATTCCACTCCTTTGCTGGCAGATCAAAAACGGCATTTTTGAATGCATCAACTGCTTCTTCTGGTGACTGGAACCTTTGACCACGCAGTCTGTTTTTAATTTTCGGGAAAGTAAAGAAATCGTTAGGACTTAGATCGAGACTATATGGAGGATGGTCCAATAATTCCACGTTTTCTTACGTTAAATACTGCCTTGTTTTTTGGGCTGTGTGCGAGCTTGCATTGTCTTGGTAGAGGACGATTCTTCTTTCGAGGAAATTGTCGACTGATGTGGTGCTTCGATGCCGAAAACATACGGTAACTCAGCAAGGCATTCTTGTTGCGATAATTGTCTCTGAAAGTTGTAATAAATTATGGCGCAAAAATGTTCTCGGTTGAGTTCCATTTTTCTAATGACTTGGTAACACTTAAAAAGTCACTGTAGTGAGAACACTGCACGTATTGTTGTGAAACTTTGAATTTAAGTTTAATAAATACTGGGGTTAAGATTCAGTTCAGGCAGCAGCGGTGGCCGCAGTAGTAGACTCTTCGGTCTCCTGATCAGTCGCCGTGCGCTGTGCGGGTTCGAGTCTCGTCCCAGGAGAAATTTTTCTCTTGGCTATGGATGTTGTGATTGTCCGTAGGTGGTAGACGGTCTCTCACTGTCGAACACACGTGTTCCCTCGCCAGAGTCCGTGTCGCGTTCCCCCTTTCCCCTGTATCCCCCTATAGCCCAACGTTACCCAATGGGTGTTTAGGCCTTAGGCCTTCGTGGTAGTTGTAGTATAAAAAAAACTGACGTTGGATCCGCGAGGCCTACTATGTTCCTATATGCAAAACTTAAAAGACATCCCTCATATTACTTAACCTAGAAGACTTACGATAACAAATTTGGTGTCCTTCTGTAGATAACATAGCTAGCTGTAGAGTTAGCACAAAAAAGTACAACTTCACATACCAGTTTTTGAATGGTGTGCGGAAATGAACAAAATAATCAATTTTCTTGCATATTTTTTTCTGCTTTTATCTGTTTTTATGTATGTTTGAAGGTTAGTATCAATACAGGTTTTTTAATAATCGCCAGGGCAACATGTTATCGTTCAAATGACACCAAATTTATCATTCTGTGACACTTATGTACTCAGTTATTACAATTTTTTTACATGCACTAGCGTAATCGTAACGTAAAAATAAAAATGGCTGCCATTTCACGGGTGGTGAGGTAGGACATTGTAGGGGGATGGATCTGTCGATAAAAATAGCTGAAAAATATTCCCCTTAAATATCGGTATGTCATGACCAAACGCATTGTATATCTTCATCTTCCTCATACATACCCCTATGTGTGAATGTTTGTTCGGTAAGCTCAAAGATATACGTTTTTTAGTTGTGTGTCTCCGTCTCGAAAACTTTGTCGTTACGCATGAGTGCCTTCCCAACTAACAATTATCACTCCTATTAGAGTTGCAAGAATGAGTATACAGTATTCCTTACACAGCATTGTATACTGTATGAACATTGGCAAAACCCTCTTAGAACAGCTATACAAGCGGAATGGGCACACCTAATAGGACACTTTAGTCATTTAAGAGGTTCTATAAGGGCTGCAGGTAACAGTTATACAACAAAAGTGCCTCTTGCAGCCGCTGTAGGACATTTGCTTCAGTGCAAGATTTAGTTTTTGTCAACTATACAACTATTCTGTTACATGATTCTACTTTATTGCAACCAAACTATTTCTTATGTATTGTATAGACTTATATATCGGCCATTGTGAATTTCATACACACGTATATGATAAACTTCTACACTGTGATATAGTGGTATTGAATTACTTGCGCAGCAAATTTTACTGTGATTATCGTGCAAAGTACTTACACAATTTCTACGGGCTTCTTAATTGATTCATATTTTAATAATGATCAAAAGTATGTCTAGATTTTTAAGATGGAAAACTGAACTTATCAGCGTTAAATCTTCCACAAATCCTATATTTAGACAAAATTACACTAATGTTTATCACTTTATATCTGTAATTTCGAACTGAAACATAATTATTTAATACTAAATAGAGGAATAAATGTTTGCCCAATATGGCGGGTGGTTGTGTATAATCATGGCATCGTCCATGTTGTCTTTGGTTTATTAGAATATTTTGGTGTTGTCTGCAGGTGTTATACAACAATTCGACAAATGTCTGAAATGAAATACCGGCAGAGTCGAAAGATTTACCCAGAATTTGTACCTGATCTATATCTTCTGTTTGAACGGTTGATTAAACCTTTTGAACCAACATATTGGTTATGGCATTTTAACAAAAATATGGCAGCAGAAAGTTAGGTTATGGTGAAGTTGTATACCAACATATTTATCAACAAATGTATGCCGAAGACAGCAATTTTGTACTACAAAGGTTGTAATATTGTTGCATATGTACAGCCTTTAATAGTTACTGAACCACAGTTGTATAAGTGCTTCCGTTGGGAGCAATTTGTTGGTTAAAGTAGTAAATTTGCACAGCATAACAACCAGGCACGGGTTTGATTTACAAACGTTACCATGGATGCCACAACACAACTATTTTGACTAACATGCAAATATGCCGTATGAAATAGTTGTATAAACGTTTATGCAACAGTTAAACATTTTTCCTATAAGGTGTTGTATAACCATGCTGTAAGAATATTTTAAACACCTCATTTTAGAGCAAATATGTTGCAGAAAGCAAATTTGCAATCCACACAACATTAAGCCAGCATTTTGATGTTCAGGCAACAACAATAGAGATCTTTTATAGCTGAACGGTTCTTTTACCAAAAGCTTTGCTGGTTGGGTTTCAATCATATTTTTCAGAGTGACAACTTACTTGACATTGGCGTGCAATTCGAGCTGTTATCAACCTTCAATATAAAATTGTACCTAACCTGAAAGTTAAGCAGCGATTCAAAAACCAGTCCTACATCATACTCAAAAACCCTGTGTAAGCACAAGTTACTCAGATAAAGAGCACAGAAACAGTGCAATGAAAAATAAAGCCTGTAAAATTCGCATGCTATTCTAGCAGCACTCGGGCTGCTATTGTCGTATCAGGCGGCTGGAGTTCGATTCATCATAAATAGAAACGTAATGCAGTAACTATTTATTAAAGCACAATGGCTGCGGAACAAACGCGGTTTCCTTGATTAATGAAACTACACAGGAAAAGAAACAGAGAAATGCATATTTTGAGGGCCACTGCTGGTATTGTTTGCTTTAGAGTCGATGAAATGGGGGAAAGTTTCCATTTTTCTCTGGGCACCGCACTCGATTCGGGAAGCTACGGATTGTTGAGTAGTTTTATTAGGGTGGATACGAATTAACCAGCACAGGCGATAACTCGGTGAAAATCCGGTGTAATTGTATTGTTAGAGTAGTCATCTTTGCTAGTGTCAGTGAAAGCTTCATCGTAAAAGTATTCTCTACTTAAGACATCAACGTTGTTCCCACTGTTGTTGCTCGCAGCTTCAATTTTTGCACACATTTTTATCTAACAGTTGTACTTTGTACCCTTGTTACATCCGACACTTTACGGTTCGTTACACCCACATACACACACATTTAGCAGACTGAGTGCCTCGAGCTCATACTCATTGTTGAATGTTTTTTGTGACTGGCGTGTTTGGCAATTACGATTTGTCTGCCTGAGCAAATATGGCTTTAGAATAGTCTATTAAATCACATATACAAAAATCGTCTCAGTCCCAACAGTGACCTTTTTCAAGCACAATTGACACTATTGACAATATATAGTCAACGCCAAACAAAGTGGCGTGCACGTCATCACGATAAAAATTCCCCGACCTAATGCCTAGGTTTCTATCACAAACAATTGCTCTATTGCAGTTTCATATTAATGTGATATATAAATTGTAAAATGGTCATTACTCTCTTATTATGGTTAATAGTCATATAAACATTGTTATTAAAATATCACATAAGTTGCTTTCTGATAAATTTAGACGCATTATGCGAAATAAAATGTTTTGCAAACGCTCCAATCACTTATCGACATGTAAACGCACTAAACCGATTTCGCAGCGTTGACACATTGTCACCTTGAAACTTATTTAAACTGGGAACTGACATTTGTATTAATTTTGACACTGAATCAATTTGTGGCATTTCAAATCTTTATAAATCCTTTGGCCCCGCATACTGTAAATCAACAACTGTTTGTTTCAAAACAAAATTATTCATTTTACGAGTAGATAAAGGCAATTTTGGTATATAAAGATGCCCAAACAGTTAAATAGTCGGTGTAAGGAACTCGTGGCCTCGTTAATGCACTACTTTGAGCAAGAAAGGGACAACAACGGGCCTTTGTTGCCTTTAAATGCTGTTCAAGAGGTAGGTTACTAATAATTATATGTAATGTATATTAATAATAGTGAAATTTTATTTCATTTTTTGTAGCGTGTTGCTGCTGCTTTAAAAATTAGTTTAAGGACAGTTAGTCGTATTTCCGAGGGTGTGAAAAGTGATGCAAATTTAGAATCGCCCAAGAAAAAGCGGAGTTATATTAAACGTGTAACCAACACAGCGACATTGGATACAAGTGCCATTCGAGAAGTGATCTATATGTATAATATGTATCACAAAAGTAAGATCTTATTATAATAACTTATCAGAAATTTGCATTAATTTGTTAACTAAATTATAATGTCATATTACACATGGTTTCAGAAGAACAAGTTACGATACAAACTTTATGGTCTCGATTAAGAGATAGGGCATTATTTGATGGTAGTGCCACGTCTTTAAGGCGGTTGCTTAGAGATCTTGGATTTAAGTGGCTTAAGGACAATCCGCGACGAGGGCTCATGGAACTACCAAGTATAGCTTTGAAAAGGGTGGAATTTCTAAGGCAATACAATCAAGCCAAGGTTGAGGCCTTATACCAGTTTGTCTTCCTCGATGAAACTTGGATATTTCAAAATGGGACCATAGGTCGCTCTTGGCAAAATGGAAACCAAAAAAGCGTGAAAGCTATTAAAACAGATGGTAAAAGGTATGTACTTTTACACAATTTGCACTATAAAATTTAAAACTAATATATTTTAGATACATTATATTACATGCTGGAAATGAAAATGGGTTTATTGAGGGTAGTGAAGCGATATTTTCTTCGAAAACAAAATTGAGCGATTACCATGGAGA